CTGTTCTGCCATGATGACAGGCTCAGCCTCACGAGGTGGTGGTGTCAGTGGTGTAGAGATGACAGGTGGTGAAGCCTGCCCTCTCTGTTGACGATTCTTGGTTAGGGAAGGCCTAGGAGTTGTGGATGTGGTAGGCTGCTTCCCTAACTTGGCTTGCTTCCTGTTCTGTCGGCAGGTCCTCTCGATCTCGGGATCTAGTGGCAGTAAATTGCCAGTCGTCCTCCTTGGCATGCACGAGAAGGATAAACCTGAAAAATTCACCTGCACACTAACACCCAGATCAAAAAAGTTCACTCACAAAAATCAACAAAAATAAGGTATGGCAGTCCCCGGCAACGGCGCCAAAAACTTGATAGGGCAAAAGCGTAATGCCTCAATCCTATCTCGTAGTAAACCGGAAAGTCCGGGTATCGTCTCTCAGGGACTGGTACAACCTTAAGTTCTATCAATTTTGTAGAGCAAACTATAGGTGAAAATGGTTGAATGAGATTAAACTATGATCTAATAGCAAAGTAATTAAACAAAACAAGCAAATTAAGGTGTCGGGTTTAATTCAATGGAGAAAGGCTCTGGGAGAAACACCGGGACTCACTACCTATCCTATCCAGATCAATTCACACATTCCAATCAATTTAATCCAATTCTCTACAGCCAGGATATCACTAATGTGCTAGCTATCCCTGTCGGGAATTACTACGTAATAAACAATTAAATTAAATCCTACCGTCGTAGCTCAATGAGTTAATTATTTAGCCTGAAGACCGATATCCTATTTAAGACTGCATAGCACCTTATTTAATCCACTGTCGCTTCGATAAGTTACTATGTCACATGAAATATGTTCAGTTATTAGGGTTTCACTGTCGCTAATAACCTAATTAACTACAAATCGTTGTATTGGTGGCCAGTCAACACAAAGCATTAAGTAATTTCATGCAATAGAGATTGGAAGAAAAGAATTCTGAATCAATCCATCAAATCAAGAAATAGCTACATCCTATGGTGTTTCCCCCAAAAATTGAGGTTTAGTTCATGACGAAAATAAAACACACAATCATGTTCATAATCATCATCGTATTAATCGAGGAAAGAAAATACTGATTTCTAATTATGCCCGGCGATCAGCTCGTGCCAAGCTCCTCCCGTCGCTGCGATGCTGCTCGCTCTCTCTCCCCCTAATTCGTTCCGCCAATTCGCTGCTGCTCTCTACTTTTCCCTTGCAAGATTCCGTCCCCAGAGAATTAGTTCCGTCCAAATTAATCCCCCCTCCAATTGTGTGTGTCCCTAGGGATGGCAATGGGTCGGGTTGGGGCGGATTTTGTCAAACCCAAACCCAAACCCATGGGTTTATTAGTCAAAAAAACCCGGGGTAAAACCCGTTGGGTTTGAAAAACTCAAACCCAACCTATCCGCGTGTTCATGGGTACCCGTGGGTTTTTGTGGTAAAAAAAATTACAATAACAAATTTCTTTCAAAATAAAAGTTTAACATCAATTTTCTCATACAAATTATTCATACAAAAAATACCAATCTAGAACTTACAAGCAAACCGCAAATGATCAATACAAATTGTTCAAAATTAAAGATAAACATCTATAAACAACAAGATTAATTGAAATCTTCTTCCTCGTCAAATAAGTTTCTTCACTCTCCACTCCATAATATCAACTTCATTCTAAATAATTAGAAAGAAAAAATTATACATGTCTCCACAAACATAAATAATATTAGTTGTTTAAAAAAGATATATTATTTAGAATATTAAATATACCGGGAAAGTAATTATATGTGTGGGCGGGTACCCATGGGGCGGGTTTACATAAACCCAAACCCAACCCGGTGAATAGTGTAGCGGGTTTAAAGCCGAACCCGGCCCAAAACCCGTCAACACGGGTTTTACCCGCGTTAACCAGGTTGGGTCGGGTGGGTACCCATGGGTTCGGGTTTTGTTGCCATCCCTATGTGTCCCCAGCCTTATCCACTTTAATCCAGAGAATGGTTTCCTCCTGGCCCAAATCAATTGATGTCCGCCCACCTGCCTCCTCCCTTTTTAATTCCCCCGTCCAATTTTTGTTCCAAACGCAGCGCTCAACTCTCTCCTCCTGTCCGGTCCAAGTAATTCAGTGGGCCAATCCAAGCCCAAAAACATTGTTGCCGTTCAACTCCCTGCAGCTTGCTCCAATTATTCGGTCCCCAGGGAAGCTCGACCTAATCTCCTTTATCGTGCTTTATTCACCTGTAATATATCAAACTCATGGCACTAGGCAGTAATGGTTTTTCAACCATTCCCGAGTTAGCGAGCCCTAAAATAACACCAATCGGCTTAAACATATCATGGATAATCACATAAAGTCCAAAAATTCAATATGTTAAAGCCGATTATCATGAGATTTATGGTTTGGTTTCTCGTATTTTTGTATGCCTTTTGTGGTTTGCTTTATCGTGTTTGTGGTTTGCATTAAGAAGTTTCTGGTTTGCTTTCAAACATTTTGTGGTTTGCATTGTGAGGTTTCTGGTTTATTTAATATATTTGTGGTATGCATTAGGACGTTTATGGTTTGCTTTTTTGTGGTTTGATTTACTGTGTTTGTGGTTTGCATTAGGAGGTTTCTAGTGTGCTTTCGCAAATGTTGTGATTTGCTTTGTGAGGTTTGTGGTTTGTTTTAGGAGATTTGTGGTATGCATTAGGAGGATTCTGGTTTGCATTAAAAAGTTTATGGTGTGCCTTCGAAAATTTTGTGATTTGCTTTGCGGGGTTTCTGGTTTGTTTTAATATATTTGTGGTCTGCATTAGGACGTTTTTGGTTTTTTTTTGTTGTGGTTTGCTTTACCGTGTTTGTGGTTTGCATTAGGAGGTTTTTGGTGTGCTTTTCGAAATATTTGTGGTTTGCTTTGTGAGGTTTTTGGTTTGTTTTAGGGGATTTGTCGTATGCATTGGGAGGTTTCTAGTATGCTTTTTTGTGGTTTGTTTTACCGTGTTTGTGGTTTGTATTATGAAGTTTCTGGTGTGCTTTATAAATATTTCTGGTTTGTTTTGTGGTGTTTCTGGTATGTTTTAGGCAATTAATGGTATGTATTAGGAGGTTTCTGATATGCCTTCTTGTGTGGAAGAAATTGCACTATACTTTCCTTTAAACCAGCCGCCAATCGCTGGTTTGCTTGGTGGAATGGGTTAGTGTAGATCACCTTTTGGCCCTCTGGTAGCAGAAGTTGGAAATGTTGGCATCAGAGGAGATATTATTGGAAAGATCTTCATTCGAGGTATGCGTTATTCTAGTGGTTCAATGGCATGCTATATTTTCTGCTTGTTTGATTTCTTGGGTTGCTGTATTTGTGATTGGCATAAAATCCTGTATTTACTTTTGTAATAGTGTCAAAGTTTGTTTTCTTTGTGAAAGCAGACCAGTGAACTCTGAATGGTGCATGTTTGCTTCACCGTTGGTGCTTTCATTCAGTTGCTACAGGATCTACAGTTTGATAATTTGATGATTGTTACTAGTCTTGGCTCTTAGCACATAACAACCAAGGTTTTTGAGTATGTAAACAACAAACTACAGGATTTATCTATGATTGTAGATGTGAAATTGAATTGTTGAGGGTGCATTAGATTGGGATCAGCATGAAGTGGTTAAGTTTAATGGGAGCTGGACATAAATCTAAACTCCGCGACAACCACATGCAAGTGGCGCTACCTGTTGGAATAAACCAATGACGGAGGCAGGGGGAAGATCGGTGTTGGAGAAGGAGAAATCAGCAAGGCTTTGAGGGTTCTTAATTTGATGATAGATTGAAACTCCGACCACTGATTACAGAAAAGATCCTGTCGAGCATCGCCCAAATGTTGACAATGTTTAATCTTTGGATGTTGAGGAGAGGAGGCGGTGTTCAGCGTAGGTAGCAATTAGGTTTAGGGAGTCAATGAGAGAGGAAGAGGATACGATGGTCGAGTTGGGGGAGTCGGGGAGAGGGATTGTAAACTGGGAGAGCTATTCCCACACAGCCAGCACCGCCGCGGGGGAACTTCGTGGAATGCGGCAAGGAGTCGTTCTTCGGCTACGCTCTGGAGACGGTGAAGGGAGTGGCTCCGATGAGCGGGGCGGAGGAGAAGGGTCTCAATAGTGAGAGATGAGACCTGACAGCGGTGGGTGAATTTTAATTAATTTTATTTTATTATTTTCTATCTAATTTACCCTTTTACCTTTAATGAATTTTGTTGTTATTCTCTCTGAGCCCCCAAAAACAGATTCGTACACCTTCTATCAAGCAGCTATTCCCAACGAACTAGAGCTCAGAATGACGATTCCTCCCGTCAGAATGAAGCACAGACAATTGCGAACCCACTGTACAAATTTCAGGACCATCCAACGGTTCAATCTTCCCGGACGCTCACTTGAACAGGCTGCCCTGCTGCAGAAACGAAAAACTGCAGCTCTTTCTCTCTTCTCTCTTTTTCCTTATCTCTTTTTTTTTTTTTTAATAAAAGGCGGACTCCTCTTTTTACTTTTTGACCAGAAAATGACTCTCTATTTTGAAAATAGGGGATCTTCTAGAAACCAATCAAAACTCAAACCGATTAATCCAACCACCATATGAGTTGGACAAACCCAACACGATATGAGCATTGTACAAATTCTTAAGAAATAAGTTGTGAATTGATTAAAAACTATTTGGCATGAGATTTTTCTTGCATTTCATTTATTTAGTTTTTTCGTATTTATTAATAAGCAATTTGCCCAAGAAAATCAAGATTATGTCATACACATGATCTTCTTACTTTTTCCCATTCATAACTTCAGTCTGCGTATCAGAATGACAGAATCTTCACTCTTTGCTTACATTAACAAAATCCACTCACAAACGTGACTCCTAATCAAATCTTCTGCAAATCTAGTCAACGGATCTTCATTTCTCCTTCACTATATATAACAATTCTTTTCGGCCTTAACTGTCATACTCCTGCTTCTCGGAAATCTCCATTTCCGCAGGAGGAGAAAATAATAATGGAGTTCCAATATTCCTCCACCTCCTCCTCTGCCGCGATAACAATTCTCTCAACATTCTGCTTCTTGTCCTCCATCCTAATCCTTCTCCTCCTCCGCCACCAAACCAAGAACGACAACAACAGGAAACACAAGTTCCCGCCGGGGAGTCGAGGGTGGCCGGTGATCGGCGACAGCTTCAGCTGGTACAATGCGGTGGCGGGGTCCCACCCTCCGGCGTTCGTGGAGCGGCAGGTTTCGCGGTTCGGGAAGATCTTCTCCTGCAGCCTGTTCGGACGGTGGGCCGTCGTGTCGGCCGACCCCGGGTTCAACCGGCTCGTGCTGCTCAACGAAGGCAGGCTGTTCAAGTCCAGCTACCCGAAGTCGTTCCGAGATCTGGTCGGAGAGAACGGCATCGTCATCGCTCAGGGCGAGCAGCAGAGGAAGCTCCACGGGATTGCCTCCAGCATGATGCGCGTGGAGAAGAAGAAGCTCGATTCGGTTCTCTTGGAGGAGATTCAGTCGGTGGTGATTCGGACTCTCGGTCGGCTCGTCGAGGGTCCGGTGGTTTGCCTGCAAGATGTTTGTAGAAAGGTCGCTATGAACGCTGCTTGTGTTCTTTTTCAATTTTCCTTTCCTAATTCCCTTCCCCTGTTTGAGTTCTTCCAGCCGCTTAGTTTGGTAATTTGCTTCAGGTGGCTATCAATCTGATGGTGAATCAACTGTTCGGCATATCGACGGAGGAAGAAGTGAATGAAATGGCGGAGCTGTTCTCAGTTTTTGTTGATGGCTGTCTCTCCGTTCCTGTCAATATCCCTGGTTTTGCTTACCACAGTGGAATGAAGGTAAACACACTATAATTCGGTTACTTACCCAATTGGATTGAATGATTAACGATATGATGCATTCGGTGACAATATTTTTAAATAATTGTCACCGCATGCATCTAGCGACTACATTATAAAACAATATTTTCAATAACATTAATAACTGGACATGTTTCTTGTAAAAATAGTAAACATGTTTGATTGAGTCAACGTTTTGATTCTAACAGAAATTTTCTAGACCAAAAGCAATGAGCTGTAAGAGTAAGTTTCAAGATTAGGGTTATACCATTTCAATGGAGTATCCTTTCGTCACCACTACCTTACCTCCACCGGCATTAAGCAGAAAACAAGGGATAATGTCGTGCGCTGATTAGCTGTTACTTCTGAGCTTTGCGTTGATTGGGCCGACACCTAGTTGGCCCAATGGGGGTCCATTAACACAGCCGTGGGCTCATCTTGCCGTCGGTCAAATGTAACTAGTCAAATAGTGTTAGCTTCTTCTAATTGTAAGTTGTAACGATGAATCCTTCCTGGCCTTTGGTTAGGCGCGGGAGAAAATCACAAGCAAGATCAACACGATAGTGGAGAAAAGCAGAGAAGCGAAAAGGGAGAATGAGAGTGAGACGGGGACTGGTTTGCTGGGGAGGGTATTGAAGGAAGGAAGCATAGAAGATGATGCAATCTCTGACTTCATAATCAACCTTCTGTTCGCTGGAAACGAAACGACGGCCAAGACTATGGTCGTCGCCGTTTACTTCCTCAGTCGCTGCCCGAAAGCAATGCAACAACTACTGGTACAATGTCTAAAACCCTCATCTCATTCCCATTTCCACTTGCCAAAATCTGCATCTCGATCTCTGATAATTCTAAACTTTGGTTTGATGTATTGAACAGGAGGAACATGATGGACTGAGAAGCAACGAGATGCTCACTTGGGAAGATTATAAAGCCATGCCCTTCACTCAGTGTGTAAGCATTCTTCTTATTTTATTGTAAAAAAAAAAAAAAGAAGAAGAAGAATTGGAGATCTTTGAAAACTGAAAATGTTTGTACTTTGGGGAGATCAGGTGATTGATGAGACGCTTCGAATTGGCGGAATAGCAATCTGGTTGTTTAGGGAGGCCATAGAAGATGTAGCATATGAAGGTATGTACTAATTATCGAGTTCACGGCATATGTGGTTATCGAATATGTTACGTTAAATTTTTTGCTAACCGGGAATTGGTGGGTGTTTCAGATTACATTATTCCAAAAGGATGCTTGGTGGTTCCATTTCTAGCGGCCGTTCACTTGGATGAAAATTTATACGAGGGAGCAGTCAATTTCAATCCATGGAGATGGATGGATCCTCAAAACCAGGTGATTACCTTGAAACTTAGTTATATCTGAAACAAGGTAGACTGAGTCGTGATTATATTATTACGAGATCCGTAATCGTTGGTTTAACCACGACGTCGAGATCACTGATTTTGATTGGTTTCATAGTTCCTCAAGGTGGAAATAGAACTGCATTTACAGAAAGCATGTGCAGTGGGTAGGGACTGATGTGTTTGTTTTGCATTTGTGCATGGATTGAATTTAAGGACAAGAGAAACTGGAGGAGTAGCCCATGTTTCACTCCATTTGGCGGAGGAGCTCGGTTTTGCCCAGGGGCAGAGTTGGCTCGTCTACAAATTGCACTCTTCCTGCATTACTTTGTCACCACTTACAGGTAAAACTTCCTTCTGACCATCTTTAAGAAAAACTGGCAAAGACATTTCCTAGCAACGCTAAATGACTAGCATCCCTTTTGGTTTCAAAACACACAGGTGGACTCAGGTTAAGGAAGATAGGATGTCATTCTTCCCCTCTGCTCGTCTCGTCAACGGCTTCCAGATTCGCTTGAGTCGAAGAAGACAGCAAGAAGAAGAAGAATCCAAACTCGACTCACAACCCTATTAATTTTAAGGTCTCACGACATCATGTTTCCTTGCAATACAAGAAATTGGAGAAATGATGAAACAATCATACTAGTCTTACACTTAGTTTTTTCCATTTCTCCTACGTAATCTTCTTATACTATACATCATTAGTTTGTCTTGCAAAGCAAAGTTTCAATAGTAACATGCCAAAAGGAAGTATTGTTTCTTTAAATAGATGTTTCCAAATGTCATGCATATAGAACAAATAAGGAAGGAGACTCTGTATCTAAATTCATCTGAACATACACATTCAGCAGATGTATGAGAGATTTTTAAGCTTACACGAGCACTGCAGGTTTCAAGCTTCTGCTATCCCTATGGAAGCACGTTTGGACTATTAGTATATACAGCAAGATAATTGCAGAATCTTCTCCTTTTTGAGGAATCGACTTCCAAGTTCTTAGCCCTTGTATGTTGATACCATACCTTGAATATCAAACAGCACTACACAATCTTATCCTTGTCGCCAAGGCGTCGCTTCTCTTCCTCAACTTGTTCCAGCAATGCCGCTATCTCTGCTTCGGTCAAACTGTCCAACCGTTTCTGGGAAAACATAGAAATGTTAATTTCATCATGCACCGAACAACAATTAGTAATATGAAAACAGACGAAATTAGTTCCACACATCCAACCGAAAGCTGCATCGGTGCTTTCAGTAGGAGACCAAATATGAATTGAGTAATTATTATTGATTGTCCAGTCCATACCTCCATGACTTTGTATTCATAGTCACGCAGCTGCTTTGCGTATGTCATTTCCTTGTTGGAGACTCTGAAGATATAACTGAATATCCATCCAACAGTCAGTCCCAAAACCAATAGCACTTCAACAACATTCCCTGCCTGTAAGCTATCAACTCCAACATACTGCAACCATGAACCAAGCACGACATATACACGACCTTGTTAATGAATGATCACCAATCCCATTCACGAATTTCAGGCAGGCATATTTCAATTTACTTGGTAGAAAGATACCTCTAATCCACTTTTCATGCCGTAGCCTAGTAGGGTGAGTCCAACTCCAATGAGTATCACATCCTTCCTGGTGTACCCAAAAGGGGTCTGCTTTAATAGAGAACCCCAAATTGGGAAACAGAAACAAGATCAGCAGAAAAGATCGAACCTTTTTCCTCTAATGGAACCCTAACTAGGATGGGTATAAACCAACTTAGGGATGCGAATTTCAGTGATAAAATATACATGCCTTGCCTTTATCTAAGCTACCATCTTCACTGGTGGAGGAACCACTACTATCAGAGGCAGAAACCCTTTCTTTCTTTGACAACGAGAAGCTGGACCTCTGTTTCCACAGCGAGAATCCGTGCTTCCTAACATGCAGCTCTTCTGCAGCCAATCTTCCTGATAAACAAAGACGACCCAGGATAGAAGAGGATTAAAGAAGGCAATTGCTGAACAACTAATTGAATCCAGTGAACAGAAAGCACAGTAACGATTCCAAAAGAGGGGTTAGGGTGGCAGTTAGAAGAAGTTACCGGGGGTGAAAACGCTGCAAATTGTTGAACCCAGTTGCGAGCATGATGGCGAAACTGAAATACCCAGAGAAGGAATGAACCTTTCTTGGCATGAAATGGTGGAAGGTGGAATCTTTGGCAGAAGAGCAGCCATTCCCTTTCCGTTTCCGAGAGTGAACCACCGAGAAAGGAGAGGCTGGAAAAAAACGATAAGAGGCGGGCAGGCACTACAAGTCTACAACTACACATTCCCGTCTTGCGCGCGTTTGGATTTGATATTTTGCGGGCCGAAAGTATAATATGTCACTAAACATCGAATTATTTCCTCTGGGAATATTAAATTTTGCATTTTGCTGCATATTGATCCTTACTAAAATTATGGGTGCTATTAAAGTTTGAACCAAGTACTTCTGCTATGTTAAGGATGTACAATAATTTCCACTGCTGCTGTTTCTCATGTCCCCCAACACTTCTAAGTTCAAGTATAAGAGTTAAAAAGAAAAGTGAATGGCAAAATGATTATCGGAGTTACTGAATGTGTTTAAACTAGTATCACGAAATTAAACAGAAGGTATCAGAGAATAATATTCAGAATACCGATTTTGATTATATGATTTATGTTTTTGTAAATGATCTGGTACTAAAATGAGCCATGATAAAATTCAATAATTGTGAGCAAGCGATGGCAAATACTCGTTGATTGAGAATTTACGAGAACATTATTGGTTGTATTTGAACCCACAATTCACAAGCGTTTAGCCTCGATTTCCAAGTCTACAAGGATCCATCTTATTCCACTAGGTACCCAAACTTTTCAACACGTCAAGGTTCTAGAGCACTTTAGAGCTCCAGCTAAGGATGTTAAGTTTTAACGGTTTTGGCCTCGGCAATTGGGAACTTTGTTCATCGTCGTAATTAGGTTTGACTTCATCTTTTCCTATTTCCTCGAAACAAGTTCCATTCTCGAAGTAATCATTTACGGAGTAGAAAGTCCATGGCTTGCTATTGTGGTCAACACATTTTCTCCAAGTTACCTACATATATGAAGTTCATCAATAAAGTATCAAGCATGATATATAAGTACCCGATTAGTCAGACCAATGAATTCCTTAATTGATCACTACCTCTTTCTTCCCTAATTGAGGAGCAATGAAGTAATTAGATTCACTCTTGATACTGGGGTTCATGCTTCCACCAATCGCATATTGAGTCCACCCTTGGTACAAGTTGTTGACTACGTGTGCATATCCATATCTAACCCTATTTCATCAATAAGAAATTAGGATATTAATTCATCAATGAACGAGAGAAAAAGAATCAATGAGTGACGAGTTTATAAATAATCAAATGATCACGATGAAAGGTTACCTAGGAATACGTTGGTTACAATTGGGTCCGAAATGGTTCAAGACAACTGTGACTTTCATTCCCCGATCTCGTAGGCAGCCATCGTCGTGGCTAAGGAGCATGACCTTGTCTTGGTTCCTAAACCATTTGTTCGACACGGTCACATTTATAGATCCATGGGTGACATCCAACAAGCCATCTTAGTCAGAATAGAGGGTATTATGGTCAATCCACACTTCTGATGCAGTCACTAGTCTGATGGCATCCCCATCCATTGCACCCAGTGACATGATCTTCCCTCTTGGACCCATTACCGAGCTTGGGCCCTGGGCCTTGCAGTGGTGAATATGAAGCCCATGTATGATCACATTGCTTGCCTGATAATTAGTATTTTAAATATTAATGAGATAGTTAAAAATAATATTTAACAATGACTTTTTAAGTAAAACTCCTCTTTTCAATTGTTTTCACACGACAAAATTAAATAAAAACTTATGGGAAATATGGCAATATCTAACTATCTATCTATATCTATCTATCTATCTATATCTATCTTATCTTATCTATCTATTATGGCAATTCAAAAGTAACTTCTTGCCACATAAGCACTTGGAAAAATAACAAGTTGCCTAGGTGAGCATTTTTTTTTAACAAAAAAATTTATTATTGATCTATTTATAAAACTCTCTCTCTTCTTTTAGTATTTATGCTCACTTTTACTCAACATTAATAATAAGTTATATTGAGAATGTAAATAAAAATAAGCATAAATAATAATAGTCGATTAAACAAAATATAAAGATGAAAACAAAGAATGACATATATCGTGTTTGTTTAAACAAAAAATGTATGATTAAATCTTATCAAGCAAATTATCTTCTCATTTTAACCAAAACTTAATAATAAGTTACATTTTGATGAAAAATTGAAAGAAGTACACACATAATAATAATATCTTTGTCTATTAAATAAAATATAATGACACAAAGAGACAAATCAAGCGTTTGACAATCAATCGACTTTGAAAAATTTATATCTATCTATCTATCTATATCTATATCTATATCTATATCTATCTATCTATCTATCTATATATATATATATATATATATATATATATATACTATATATTATGGCAATTCAAAAGCAATCTCTTGCCACATAAGCACTTGGAGGATCCACAATTTGCCAAGTTGGACAACTTTTTTACAAACAAAAAAAAATTATTTATTAATGTATTTATGGAGCTACCTCTCTCTTCTTTAATATTTTCATTTCTTTTAACATTTTTTTTCTTTAATAGTAGGTTACATGTTGATAAACTTAACCAAACACACATAAATAACAATATTTTATCCAGTAAAAAAAATATAAATAAGAAAACAGAAATTAACATATACCACATTTGTATAAATAAAAAATATCTGATTAAACCTTACGAAGTAAATTTTTTACTCATTTTTACTAAAATTGAATGATAAGTTACATTTTGATGGAAAAATTAGATAAACATACACATAAACAATAATATTTTTTTTTCGATTAAACAAAATTTATATAAAAAGAGAGAAAATAAACATTTGACATTCAATTACCTTTGAAAAATAAACTATATTACTTTATATTTTGTTGCAATGAAACACTCTCTTATTCGTAAATTATATGTCTATAAAATAAAATAAATATTATTTAGCAAAATGTCATAGTATAATCTTGATGGAGTAGTTATAGTTATTTATTTAAAAAAGATTTCTTATTCCTCAGATCATGTTCTACCTTAAACTCCTCAAATGAAGAGAAATCACATGTGCAATAATTTTAAAATGTGTCCTAAGTTCACATTAATAATATTTATTCTATATCATGTTGATTGAGCAAGCTCTATTGAGGTCCTAAGTCGTATACTAAGAAATTTTCTTTCAGACTTGGACTTATCGTCAAAGATTATAAATCAAAATTTTCAAAATGACTTAAGTATGATTGTTGACGAACTTTGACTTCATACCCTAGGATGAGACACAAGATTACTTGAAAAAAACATAAAGGGATGTTAGAGAATCTTTGTTGAGAATCTACGATAAACATCGCGTTTCATCAACTAATAAACTAGATATTTACCAAATAAATGTTGACAATTTTTAGTAAGATAGTCAATTGGGATAAACATATTTATCCAATAATCAAGTATCTTTATCCAGTAATCTCAACTCTCAAAATTGGTTGCCAGTTCTCCAAACTCGAGAAACACAAATTGATATATGTTGTATAGAGAATAAGTTAATGAAAATAATCAAATGAAATCCACCGATATTGTTCAAATGATAAGACATTTTAAATGCACTTGAAATATGTGTGTATTGTAGACACTCTTTATCAAATATTAATATATAAGTTATAAAATCTTTGAAAATTACACATTCAACGACCATGTTAAGACCAAAATCCTCGATAGTGTGTGCGAGTGTCTTAGATTGAGATTCTAAGCCAACATATAAACAATGACCACGGGTTGAACTTCGAAAATTAACAATTGATACATATTGTCTAATATACTAAATTTAAGTGTCTTGATAAAAAAAAAAACTAACATCCAAAATGGAAATGAGTCGAGATTATAGAATTTAATTATCACGAGGGCTACGGTGTGTGTCAAGTTTCAATATGGATGAATAAATTGATCTAATAATGAAGTATCTTTATTAAGAACGTCTCACTAAAAAGTCCTAATCTTTACAACATTGGTCAAGAGTTCGTCCAAACTTGAGGATCCTGAATGTGTATTGGATTTCCAAAGGACCTAAAATCTCAATTCCTTTCGGAGGCTAAATACCTCTGATCACAACCATAGGTGTCAAATAAGAATAAAATGAAGCCAAAAAACATAAAAAAAAGAACATAACCTCCGATACGATGAACAGAATAAAACCATATCGAGCTATGATCCTGTCATCCCTACCCTTTTATTCTCCATAAAGGGGGGCGGGGGGCGGAAGAGGAGAAGAAATAAATAGCATCATCTTAGGATTTCCCTCTTTATATATTACATATAAAACGATAGAACCTCAATGGTTGTCTGACGTTATGGGGTAAAAGCGGGATCTCTATCCCGAGGGTGGGGGATAGGCAAGTAGCACTTTTAATACGAGTATTAGGCGAGATAAGATAGGTCTAGCGAAGTATCTGGATAATTTTGAGTGTACTATTTATATACACACATATATATACATATATATAATATCAAGGTATACTATCTTTCATTTTACTCAAGATACGATAGAAGATAGGTATGACAAAGTATTTGCATAAATTAGAGGTTAGAGAATTAGGGATTAGAGTTCACCTATTAGAGGTTAGGGTATAGTATCATGCCCCAAAAAACTCCGGAGTCTAAATAGTAAAACTCAATGGTCGTATGGTAGTGTGTGTGGTGCAGGTTGGCGTACGCTCAGTGGCGGACCCAGGATTGTCGGAGAGGTGTGTCGCCGATAAAATCCAATAATAATTAAATTAAATTAAAAAATTAAGTAGAAATTAAAAGAAATTAATTCATAAAGTTCACAATGTCATATTTACAACGAACCGCGACGACTTTTCATCTGTTGAAATGTCTCTAAAATACATTCATCACTTATGCTGCAAAGCAAATCTTTTTCAATATACACACCTAAACAATCATTCATAAATTGGTCACTCAACCGATTTCGAAGATCGTTCTTGATTATCTTCATAGCTGAAAATGCTCTTTCGCAGCTTGCAGTTGCAACAGATAAAGTCAACACCAACTTCAACAGCAAGTAAACTAAAGGATAAAGAGTGTCCGCCTGGGCTATTGACCACTTGGCCTGTGGTTTTTTTTCCTTCTCTTTTAATTATAGGCCCAGACCCAACACACATCACACATATATATTGTATGGGCTGAGAGTCTATTTTTTTTAAATAGGAAGTGATAGGATTATGATTTATGAGTTATTTTAAACAAAATTAAAATGGATTATGATTAAGATTGATTCATTTGGATAATAAATTTTTCGCCTATAATGAAGGTGTGTCGGGTATAATTATTGAAGGTGTGTCGGCTATTCCGAAGTAAAAAAATTTGTACCAAAAATATATAGGTTCTTCGCAAAAATCTCGAGCGAGGGTGTGTCGGACGACACACCCTTACTAGCCTAGGTCCGCCACTGTGTACCCTAAATATAGTGTTTTGGTTGACAAATTTTGACATAAGTTATAAATGGGATGTGACAGCGGCATAATTTATGATGAGAAAACCGAAGTATCAGAAGTGAGTGTGCTAAATATTGGAAATTTTCAGACATACTACAAACTCTTTTATGAATCAAGAACAAAAAATATTTAGAAGATCCAAAATGATTTAAACATATAAATAAGTTAATTAATATAAATTATAAAATAAATCTTTCCGGCCAACGGGCCAAGTAAAAAGCTAGTTGTTATATTAAAATTGAATGCATATGATTTAACATTCAGAACATACCTTGTAAATGACAAAACATGCATTACCCTCAATGTGAACACCAACGCCGCGACCATCGAGGGCAGTGTTGCTACTTATTAAAAGGACTTTTTGAAGCGTGATCTTTATGTTCTTTTTAAATGTGATCCATGTTTTCCCTTCTATTAACGCACTGCACCTTAGGGTTCCAAGTTTAGGTCCAAAGGATCATCGCTTGGATCGGTAACTTTATACCGAATGGTTCCTTTTCCAATGTTATTGGTCATCTTCCCAGCAAACCCGACAGAACATTTGGTTAAGCGTTGTCGATGTTCGCGCCAATTTGTATCTCGTGTCCAACACTTATCGATCACGTTCATTGGCTTGGCAAGACATACATTTTGAGAGAAGAAGAAGAAGATGAGGAAAAGGGAAAGAAAATAAGCAAATCGAAATGGAGCACCTATCTTCATATCTCGTGAACTTCTTATGATCGACAACTTCTTTCTTTTCTTTTCTTCCATCTTCCTCTTCTTCCTCCTCCTCCTCCTCCTTTGTTTTAATAAATTGATGGTTTTTTATTATTAAAAGGTTTTTATAGAAAGAAAAGAAGGAAAAAATGACGATGTTGGCAACCGCTAATAAGTTTATATTTGTTTCTTTTGG